AACATAATTGTGGGGAACGGGAACTACTTACTATTTATATAAACATGTATATGAATAAATATATATATATATATATATATATATATATATATATATATATATATATATATATATATATATATATATATATATATATATATATATATATATATATATATCATGAAAGGTACCATGAAAGGTAAAATTTCAATAACCAAGTACTTATCAGTAATCCAGACACTTCATTTATGTGGACAAATTTCTCAGGAGTGTACGGATTAAAGCATCGTCGCAGACCACGGCCGAAATGTATGATCCTCTCCCATTCTGGCGGTGGTTGAATGAGAAGAGAATATTTCGCAGCTCATTAAAATATTGACCAATGCGAGTAAAGCATAGCGGATAATGAACTTTTCACAACCTTTCATTCAAATAAGTGTTTCCAATGTTTCTCTGCTATAAAGTTATGGAATGGATAAGAATTCAATAGTTTTTCTATCAGTAACCTTTAACTTGCCCAAATGACCTTGAATAGAAATCATGACATACCCTTAGGACAACATTAGCAACCTTTGATGGATGTACGAGCATTGAATGTTTCTCTCTTACATAGTTATGGCCTAGACACTCTTCTTCAAATGACCTTGAGTCAAGGTCACAGCATACCTTCAGATAATAATTTTAATTTTAGGAGTTTCCTATGTTTCTTCTCCACAAAAAACAAGGTACAGTTTCAATACAAATCTTGCCGTGTTTTTCTTAAAAGTGATGTAAAAAATTAAAACTCATGCTTTCAGAATCATTGAAATTCCATGCAGCAAGATCATAGTTACACATCATTTTTCTCACATGACCTTCTAAATGCTGTGACATCATAAACTTGTGCATTTTCCTGTATTTTCTTAAGAAGTTGCATAAGACACCAATTTTCAATGGAATTTTCTTTCAGATAATATTGTCCACACGCATCGCCTAAATGATTTTGAGATATGAGAATTTTCAAAGAATTTTGCCCCCATATACCCAAAAATTTAAGTGGGCGACAGCTGTGGACACTATTTTCTTAAGGAAAATAACCCTTGAAATGGGTCATTTTGAGGCTTTTTCCGTTTAAAACAGAGAATTAATGCATCAAATTAATGACGTCATATTTCCAGAATGGTACTTCTTCATTCCATATTCTTTCCTGATTTATAACATTCATATACTCAACTAGTATTTAAGCCAGTTTCAAAACTTTTTGAAAACATTAAATTTTTAGGGCACAATAAAGCTAAAACTGTACATTCTTCTGTAACATTTTTCTGTTAGTGACCTTGTACTGATTATAACTGATACAATCAACCTTCAACTTGCCAAAATTACCTTGGGTCAAGGTTAGGACACACATCAGGGTCAAAAGCAATCTTTGAGTCAAGTATAAGGTTTCAATATTTCTCTCTTTAAACTGTGTTTGCAGCTAGTACAACAAGGACTACTTCGGTATTTAATGAAACTTTTGGATGTGCTTAACACAGGCACTTCATGTTACATACTTTACACATATAAAAAAATAATACTCCCTACCTTGGTAGGGGGTATATTTTTTTTTATATAAGAACAAGATGTGTTTGTGAAACACTGATACCCCAATATGGCAGCTATGGCAAAGGTTAAAGTTTCTCAAATGCAGGTCAAACTCCAAGGTCAAGAGATCAAAAATGTTACCCAAAGAAAGGACTTATGTCAATGGATAACCTGGTAAATATGAAAGCCCAAGCACCAACCATTCAACAGTTAGGGTCAAGGTTAATGTTTTCTAAAAGAGGGTCAAACTCCAAGGTCAAGATCAAAGGGCCAAAATTAATGGTATGCAGGGGAAGACCTTATCATAAGAATTGCAAATTATAAAAGCCCTTGCACCAACTGTTCAAAAGTTATGGCCAAGGTTAAGGTTTTTCAAAAGTAGGTCAAACTCTAATGCCAAGGTCAAAAATATTTACACCAATGGAAAGGTCTTATTACAAAGAATACACGTGTGAAATATGAAAGCCCTAGAACCAACTGTTCAAAAAGTTATGGCCGAAGTTAAAGCTGGGTAACTTTTTGCAAAAGTGGGTCAAATTCCAAGGTCAAGAGGTCAAATATGTTGGTACCAAAAGAAAGGTTTTGTCACAAGGAATACACAAGTGAAATATGAAAGCCATAGCACCAACCATTCAAAAGTTATGGTCGAGGATAATGTTTTCTAAAAGTGGGTCAAACTGCAAGGTCAAAGTGTCAAAATTAATGGTACGCAGGGAGACCTTGTCGTAAATACAGATGCAAAATATGAAAGCCCTTGCACCAAATGTTCGAAAATTTTTGCCAAGGTTAAAATTTTTCAAAAGTAGGTCAAACTCCAAGGTCAAGGTCAAAAATTATTGGTATCCAAAGGAAGGTCTTGTTACAAGGAATATACCAGTGAAATTTGAAAGCCCTAGTACTAACTCTTCAAAAGTTATGGCCAAGGTTAAAGTTTTTTTAAAAGTGGGTCACACTCTAAGGTCAAAAGGTAAAAATATTAACACCCGTGGAAAGGTCTTGTCACGATGAATACATGTGACATATGAAAGCCCTAGCACCAACTATTCAAAAGTTATGGCCAAGGTTAAAGTTTGATAAATTGTTGCAAAAAGGGGTCAAACTCCAAGGTCAAGAGGTCAAATGTGTTGGTACCCAAGGGAGGGTCTTGTCACAAGGAATACACGTGAAATACGAAAGCCATAGCTCCAACCATTCAAAAGTTATGGGTAAGGTTAGAGTTTTTGCCGACAGTCAGACAGACAGATGGAGCAACGCTATATACCCCTGAATCTTCGGGGCATAAAAATATGTAACGTCATGCAAGAGCCAGTGAGCTTAACTACAGGAAAAACAAGGATACCACTGCTTTATTTATTAACATTTTAAGTTCAATGAGAAAAAAGCCAGCATTTCTGGCTTTTACTACTTCTTTTTCTCTCTACTAGATATGAATCTTCTGCAATACCATAAAAAGTAATCAATGTAAAACATTCAGAAATTGCACAATAATTTATTTCATCACAGGAATCACAAACAGGATTTCATTTATTGGGTGGGTTCAGTAATAATATAGTTTCAACAAAAAAATGTTATGACCTGTATAGAGGATTCGCTCATAAGCACTCAGTATGTCAAGGGCTTTAAACACAAAAGTTTTAACACATTTAAGAGCAATCCTTTATGAGTGGTCTCTCATAATAGGCCATAACACCAAATTATATCAGATTTAAGTAATCATTTGTATGATATAATAAAACATTTTGCGACAATAAATTAGAAAGAACTGAATGTATAATAAGATCAGATCATACCCTCCAAACATTAAAATATGAAGTAAACCCTCAAAAATATAACATATGTATAAGATTTTTTTTTGTCTTTGTAAAGCATTTCTGTGTTGTGGCTGTATCACTTTGGGTAGTGTTCATTATATGTTATAGTGGTAAGATGCAAGAATAATCAGAGTGAAATGAAAATCACTGATTTCAGTGTCACTAATAATCAAAAGTGATACAACCACATCAAGAACAGGGACCTTTCAGATAAAACAACAAATGTGTAAACAACAACAACAAAAAGGATTTCTATCTCTGACAGATACTTTGACATTCTGATAATGGTCTTGAATTATACATGTATAAATCGGTAACCTGGACTTAGAACGGAGCTGATTTATAACCTCTCTGCCAATTACTAGGCTGTATCATTCTACAGTACATTCAGTTATTTACGGATCTTGAAGAATAATTGCGTAGAATTAGGCTTAACTATCACAACACAAAATTAAACATATAGTACAAAATCTTTAATGCCTTACATTAAATTCTTACTGGAAAAAATATTGAACATTTCATTCAATTCAGAAAAAAAGAATGCAGTGTCATTGGTCCCTCATTTTTTACTATCTCAAATATTTTAAAAAACATTAAAATTGTAAGAAATGCATTTATCTACAAAAATTTAAAAGCTGGAGGTACATGTTTTAAGACCAAAATACACAGCCCTGAGGATGTACATGTATTGCACTATAGCACTGCAAGTCACAAATATCAGATATGGATAATTTTTTTACTTAATCTCAAAGAAATACGCTTACTGTAAATGGTGTTTTTTTTTACATGCTGTAAATTTTACCTTACCGGTAATTTTTATGCATTCCATAAATTCATACAGAGTTATTGTGTAAATTTCATAAGAATAATAAGATTTTATATATCCCATCACAATGCCTAACAGTTTAATTATAAATATTTCACAAAGTCAATTTTTTTTAAACAGATTAATCAAGTATATACATGTATATTAACAATTTATTTTCCACAGTTTTCCATCATTGCACTTTATTCCACACTAAATTTTGTAAATGTGTCTAGCAACACTATTTCAGAGCTCCCGACATCATATGAAAAACTGTAAGGAGGAGGTCCAGAGGCCACTTAGCCCCCCCCCCCAATCCCCCCCCCGATCGATAGATATTTTGAGTTTAATTACTTTCAAATGATCTAGATTGCAAGTTAGCATAAAAAGACATTGACAATACAAGCAAGTGCTGTTAGGACTATGACTTTTGTATTATAATGGTGAAAACTGCAGGTGCATGGACAGCTATGAAAGCGTAACCTTCTCCAAAATCATAAGGATTGGCATCTCTGCTGTTTCTCACTTGTGACCTTGCCATGTTAATACTTGATGTTATTTGACCTTTCATCACAGAGTAAAGTGTCAGATAACTGAGCCCATAGTTTTAGTACTAAAAATGTCAATACACTGTTTTTGAAACCTTGAGAGAAACAGTCTGGAAAATTACCCTAATCTGACAAGTAAATCTACACTTTATAATAATTGAAAACATACATGTACAACTCTTTTAAGTGCTCAAAAGCAGGTATTTTTTGGCTTCAAATTATATATATATATATATATATATATATATATATATATATATATATATATATATATATATATATATATATATATATATATATATATTCTGATTTCAATTTTTTAACAGCATTCACTCTGATGAATACAGAAAACATGACCTTTGATTAACTTAAAAATTTACAGCAGTAAAAATAATGCATTATACAGTAGGTTTTTGTAGATATTGATATATCAATGGAAAAATAACTGCCTCAACTTGTCATACAACTGGGATCAAATTTTGCTATCCTCTTCTTGAAAATATATAAATATATAAAAATACCATTTGTGTTTATATCCTACAACAATGAAGATTTAGCCATCATAAAATGTTTGTTAAAAACAAGAATAATTTCCCACTCATAAAACTGTTTACAACTCGGGGGATATTGTTAACAGGTTAAGAAGATCTTTTTAAATGTTGCATTTAATTTACTTTTTTTTGGTCCAGTGTTTATTGTAAGTGAATGCTACCACCACCTTGACTGATGATGGAGATTTCAGACAGATAACATTAAATTCCAATGACAGGTCTCAGGATCCTCTTCAGGTAGTCGTACAGTTGGTAATCATTGGTGTTGTAAACATAGTCACCATATATCTGAAAGACATAAAAACTGAATAAGACAACTTAATTCTTCTTGACATCCATATTAAGAAAAATTCTGCAATTCTCAAGAAACATTATGAAATACAGCAAAACTTATCTGGACACCACTGGTTCCATGGAAATTTGTAGAATTAGACATTTTAAACAACAGAACAGGCAAGATTTTTATGTCCAGATTAGACAAGTATTTCTGTAATAATATACTGCACCACCAGACCAGTAGAAATACTTGCGCACTGCTTAATTTAATCAGAATGACTTATGAAAAAGAAATGCTGTAAAAAAAAAATTCAAGCTGAAGAAGTTCATGAAGTGTGGTCTCACCCTATCATACAGAGAGTCTTGGAGTTTCTGCTCCATCCCGCCATCCAAGTCCAATTGCCTGCTGGGAACACAGTCATTGCGTCTCTCTGGCTCCTTACTGGAGGAAGGCGTCAGGTTAAAATCCACCACCTGAGCTTCTTTCATGTGTTTATTTGACACAGTAACGCAACGCTCTTCAGGATAGTATCCATCAGCAACAACTCTGATTTTGTAGTCTCCATTCATGAGTAAGCGATAGTAGTCTCCTAGCTTTCCTGCAATAAACAATGTATATTACAATTCCAAAACAAGGTCAATGGAAGTAATTATTGTATAATGTAAATAAATTGATTTTGGATAATCAAAATTCACAATTTTGATGTGCAAAATCAAAAAAAAATATCAAAAAATTTGTCATCTTAAGGACATTGGCAAGTCACAGTTATCTGGAGAAAAAAAGTTTAATTCACGGGTTTTTTCACTTATAAAACTGTGACCGAGAGTGATCTCCCATGTAGAATTCTCTACACAGTGAAAACGAATAAAGCATATGTTACAGCGGTAAATAGAAGCATGTGTGCTTCCTTGAATGGGTAGAATCATCTCTGCAGCAAGAAAGAAAAGCAGTGGTGGCTTTGTTTGACATTGTACTCAAGGGACAGACAGTCAACAAAGCATTATTTATCATAGCTATGCTGGGAAGGGCAAAGATGTGACAAATGCTGAGAACAATTTCTAGGTCTTGCGAATGAAGCACTATTTAGTAAATATGAACAAAAATTAAAAACAAATCCATGCCAATATTTTTATAACAATTATGTTTCCAATAAAGTAGATTACATTATAGAAACAGTCCATCAGTCTCTTTACCATTATGAATAAAGTGCCCCGCCACAGCATGATACGCCCGTCAAATATTGTTCAATTATCACAAACATTTTAGAGTGCAAGAAAATCAAGTCAACCTTGATACACAGATTTCCATGATTTTTCCATTCCTTATAATATTTGTTTATACATTTCCTGTGGTGTAGGCATGAATTATAACAAATATTACATTATAGATCGTCAACTGGTTGTGTTAGAGCTTGACAAATGCCCATCTGCAGCCCCCCCCCCCCCCCCCCCCTTTTCATATTTGTGAGACATGATGCTCTGAAATTTGTTAGTTGATATTTTCAAAAAATTAAATAAAAATATCATATTATTCAATATGAATTTATCTTGACAACTTAATCTATACCAAATTAATTTTAAAATAAAAGACTGGCCATCAAATGAAATATGCTATAAACTGACCAGCAGTTCTTCTGTTTAATTCCCAAAGGATACAGAAAAGAAGTGCTTGATCAGATATGCTCTAACAGAAATGATTGAGACAGCTAGCCTTCCTACACTGAACTCATTAATTAATCTTTTACTGGATGCATGTCCACTCATTACTCCCAAGGGATGAATGGCCATATCTGCGCTATCTGCTTTGTAGTGCAATTAAAATGCATATTTATGTCATACTGAAATTAAATTTGAAAACAAAGATTTTTTTTTCAATTTGTTACAAAGATTTATAAAAAGAAAAAAAAATGTAATCTTGATGCAACATTTTTAATAAGGTTTCTGCTTGACTCTTACATTTGTAGGGACTAATCTACCATAATTAAAACTTTTTTTTTGAAATACTTGATTTTTTTTTTTAAGACTCAATGTCAGACTGGTTTTAAGCTGCAATTCATATGGAGAACCAGCATGCTAATTCCAATATCACCCCCCCCCTTCCGAGTATAATTAGTTTTAATTAATTAGTTTAATATAAGATATCAAATTAGTTTAAATAATACATATAATACAATATCAAATTAGTTTTAATTACTTTTCACCAAATTCATTTTAAAAGTTAGGCTAGCCCACAAAAACTATGTAATCCAACATGGCTGATTCCTCTGCCCAATTCCCAAGAGATATAGATAACACCTGCTTGATCAGAGATGCTCTACCAGTTAGCTCCTCACACTAAACTCATTAATTTCTCTCTAATTTGACATGCAATTTTCTGTTATCAAAATTCTCCTTGACCAGTGCTTGATAATTACACCCATGGGAGAGGTGGAATTTCTCTTGTAACATTATATTTGTTATAGATTGCTGTAAAGTATATAATGAAAAAAATAAGTATTTTCTTGATTTTAACATTTTTTTAATAAGGATACTGCAACACTTTTACATTTTTGGGGATTGTGTAATATAATAGTAAAAAGACAGTTTTTTTTAAAATCTCACTTAAATTAAAGGTCACAGTGACCTTGAAATAGGTCGCGACACACCTTCTACCTAAGATGAATAAACTGGCCAAGTTTGATGATTCTAAGTCTAATAGTTTTCTAGTTATGAGCCGGACAGGATTTTTCCATATTTGGTCATAGCATCTTAATTAAAGGTCAGAACGACCTACTTTTTGTGCGCGACACACCGTCTACCCAAGAAGTATCAGCTGACAAAGTTTGATAATCCTAGGCCTAATAGTATTAAAGTTATGAGCCGGACACGAGAAAAGCTAACAGACAGACAGACGGACGGACATGAACGCCATAACATAATACGTCCTGTCTAAAGACGGGCGTATAATAATAATAGAATCTAAGGGAAGTAACTCAAAAACAAAGAACGGTGCTGGTATATCTGTGTCTTGTTTCTATATTTGCATTTTCAGCCAAAATATATAGATGTCATAGGAAACGAGGATACAATAATTTATATAAAACATAAGCTTTATGAGATAAATGAGTTTTGGAGAAATCTTATGGTGAAAAATTATATAAGTCCTTTTTATCAACATTGTACATAGGAAATGCATTGAGAATTGTAAAAACATTGATTTGACAAAATCTAAAAGGGAAGGATGACTTGGTGGGTTAAATGTATGAGAATATAACATGTTAAGTGCCATAACACCTACTCAAAGAGTTCTTGAAAAATTCTATACGAACGCCAGGAACCTTGCCAAAGTCCTTAAATGATTAACATACTATTTTAAAATTTTCAAAGCTACACAGTATCTTTGACATCTTCAGCTGGGGATAACCATATAGTCTCATAAATCTTAAAAACACAGGGGAGCTTCATTTATCCGGATGCTTTGGTTCTAAGTCAGAATCATCGGGATAGGTGAAGCATCCGAATGACGGAATTGCCTCAATTTCAGCAATATGACGACCTTTTGTACCACTGACAATAGTGAATGATGCTATATTATCTGCATTATATTAATAAGTTTTATTGTATTAAATACTGTAATATACATAAGCACCTGTCAGGAAGAGATTTGAATTTACCCCAACAAACTGACAATAAACCTAGAGAACATTTATTCATACTAAATCTGACATAATTGCACACATGCTCATCTTCTGAGCGATATTGCATTAGTAATCATTTAAATTTGATTCAAGTTATTGATTGAATGTGATTTTTTTTATAAATTATCATCAACATTTACTGATTTAGACTAGAAAAAACATGTTTGATAAATGTGCATAAAGAACGACATTATAAAGCTCTGCAGAGTCAGGTCTATAAACAGCAATAAATAAAATCAATGTTAAAAATGTATTCTAACTGTAAATATTTTGCCATTACAAATAACCTATAGAATTTTAAGATTATTTCAATACAGAAGTGTAATTATTTCACACATGTCCGAGAAGAGTAGTCATATGCGTGCATCTCAAAAACAACCAATAATTAATCTCGCAGCTAGTCAATGTAGCAGGTCAAGGTTGATTGACTTTTTAAACCAAAACAGCCAGGCCAGTGTGTTTACAACACTTAACATCCAGCTCAGACAAGTTGAAAGACCAGTTAAAAAACAAGAGGTCTGTGAGCCAATGCTCACTAATAATACCCCCGCTCTGATGTAAATACACAAGTTCATTTATGGACAGACACAGGGATAAACAGGAAGTTGACATCAGATTCGTACAAAAATAAATTCCACCAAATGACATGCCTAAACGAAGAGTGTGCTGAACTCTTAAGCATCTGCGATAAGTAGATGCTGTGAAAACTGTGACCAAAATTTGTTATGTATGGTACAGACAGACACAGGGATAAACAGGAAGTTGACATCGGATTCGCACAAAAATGAATCCCACCATATGGCATGCCTAAACAAAGAGTGTGCTAAAATTTCAAGCATCTGCGATGAGTAATTGCTGAGAAAACTGCAACCAAAATTTGTTATGTACGGTACAGACAGATGCACAGATAAACAGTAAGTTGACATCAGATTCGCACAAAAATGAATCCCACCATATGACATGCCTAAACAAAGAGTGTGCTAAAATTTCAATCAATGTGATGAGTAGTTGCTGAGAAAACTGCGATGAAAATTTGTAACGGACAGACAGACAGGCACACAAGGGTAAAACAGTATACCCCCCTCTCATCCGGAGCGGGGGTATAATTACTGTCTGCATAAGTATACCAAAATATGACATAAAAAAGCATTTCATGGTAAAAAAAAAAAAATGATCGTCTGGATCTGGCCCTGGGGCCATAAAACATAGACAAGCTCCCTTTTGATCTCAGTCTCACTTTTCCGCTATTAATTCCTTTGATAAAAGTGAGACTGTGATCAAAGGTGAGCTCGTCTAAGTTTAATGGCCCCAGGGCCTGGAACAGGGAATTCTGGATAAACGAGACAAAATAATGCTAATATTTCCATTCCCAAGAAAAATCATCCAGTAGCTAAAGCGTTCGGATATCTGGTGTCTAGATAACTGAAGGTGCACTAGCTGTATTAGGAAAACTGAGCAGAATTAGGGAGGTGATTGGTATTGTACTCAGGTGTAATTTTTATCAGCTTGAACTTGTTGGTATGATATGATAATGAATACAATAAGGCTGTGAACAGACTTTCTGCTGGTAATTATGAACTCTGTCTCTTACCTGAGAGGACATCATGCTTTATCGGTGATCCTGATGTCATATTTATCACCTTGATAGTAGCATTAGGAACTTTCTTCCCATTGGACTCAACTACACCCTTGATACCAATATGTACCTGATTCAAGTAGTAAAGATGAAATACTATAGATAAACAGTCAATATATTCATATTATTCATTTTCTGAAAAAAAAAATGATTTGAATACTGGTAGAAAATGATTTGATGTATGGGGACAATTTGTGTTAAACCAATTTGTACATGCAATATACATGTAGATAAAGGTTTATCAATATTAAACTTTTTTTAATGTATAAGAAGACTTAAATGAATGTATGACTGTGACACCTGAAACATGTAATTAACGAGAGCCTCTCTATTGTCCTCCCAATACTTCTTTTCCTCTTTAGGGTACGGGAATTTGTTACATCCTAGTTCCAGTGTGATCTCAAAGCAGTTTGTGGCCAGGTAATTAAAATCTTGCATTCCTATGACAAGAACAGTTTTAATAAGATTATTTTTTGACATTTAACAAGAAGAATATAACTACTATTATACTACACAAATCTTGTTACTTTCATACATGAAGAAATGGTGAAACAAGAGGATTTCCTAATACCGGTAGTAAAATACCTAGGTCCAATGTAGGTCCATCCACTTATTGAAAGGGAAAGATACTTAAAAAATGTCCTAAATTCAGAGTAGGGGGAACTTTGTATGGAAAAGTTGTGGAATTGTTATAATCAAAAACTTACCCTTAATATATCAATATTCCCCCCCCCCCCTTCCAATTATTTTCTTTGATTTTTTAATGAATGAGCAACTCTAATGAACTTGATTCTATCAACAACTAAATACTGTTCTTATGTATAACATACCCCCAGCAACAGAGTACCACTTTGCACCATTGGTAATTCCATCCTTGAATTCTGGCAGATCTTGATCACCTGACATGTCACATGGTGTACGCATTGGATCTGACATGGATGGGTGAAACTTTGAATAGGATTTTGCCAAATATCTACAAAATTATGTGAATAAAAAATAAGAGATATGATGAAAATGAAAGGTCTCACAGGAAAAATGGTGATGCTAAGTGCAAAAGATGTTAAAATACTTGATAGTTGACATAACAAATTGTAAAATACTGGATGACTCACACTGAAAAAAAATCAAGAAATAATAAAAAGTTAATATCACAAAGTACAGAATGGAAGGTATGTGCAGATTTGATGAATCAAACTTAGAAAATTGAAATGCATATATCCGGTACAAATTAATAGGAAGGTCACATCATACAACATGATAGAAAAGATGATGATATGAATCAAAAGTCATATACATGTACATATACTAGAAATATGTCCATAGGACATATGTGAACAAATGTCTGAAAAGATTGCTGAAAATGTCTTGAACAGTTTCTTTGAAACTAAAGTAAATGTAAAATGAGGAAAAGTGAAGTCAAGGTCATAAGAATAGTCAAGATCAGAAAATAATGGCACAATTGAATGGCTCTTACCAATTTTGTATCAGTGTATGAAGTCTGATTAAAATATCTTAAAGGGTTTTTATCAAGTATCTAAATGTTTTAAAAATGAAACACTATTATATTCTTGAAACATATAATTATCGTTTAATTATGAAATAACTTTAAAAACAGTCATAATTAGGCTATAAAACACCCGTAATATAGAGATCTCGAAGTAAAAATCTCCACTAATTAGATAGGGGTCATGTGGTACTGAAACGTCATAGGTGTCAGTGGTCAATTAGAACTCGTAAAGCTTATCGTGAAAAAAATGTATCAAATAGATTTTGACGTTAATAATATACACTACACAACAAGGTCGGTGGAAATTTTGACATTGACGATATTCTTTTAGTTATAGACGGTCTACTTTTTATGTATGACTGTCTAGCAGAGAGAAATAACCAAGAAAAAATGCCGACAATAGGAGAGGACACCGAAGACAAAGCCGTTGACAATTCGGGACTTCCGACTAAATAGAATGAGTAACTAAAGTTGGACTTCATAAATATTTATAAATATCTGAATTTCTTCAACTTCTTCATTGTTGTAATAAACTGAATATAAATATTCTGTCTGTTCCAGTGAATATCATGTACTAGAAATGACATTTCTTCAACACTGTTCAATGGTGCCGTATGCCATTACGATGGTGCCGTATGCCATTACGAAGTTCACAACATTCCTACTAGCATGTACTAGATTCTGTGCGACTTTAAAAATGCGTGTTGGGTATTTTTTTTTCATTTTAAAAAGGTACCATGTCCTTAAAATATTTTATAGTACAGAAAAAAAATTGTGATCGGGCATAAACAATTGCTTTGAATGGAGACAAAGCCCTTGCGTTTGCAGAAAAAAGGCCCCCCTTTCACTTCTCGACCAAGTCAAGGAAATGTGGAAAAAAAGTCTTCCTTAAACCTTTCTTGTGCACATTTGTGCATCCTAAAGCCACAAATTATATCTTACTAGCTGTCAATTATCCAATTATCACTTCTTTATTTACAAACAAGTTTAATAGACACAACGAATGAGCCGTTTTGTATACACAATAAGTACTTTATCAGGATTGACACCTATGACGTCAGAGCAATGGCGCATAGCATCGGCGATAAAAAAAATATGCAAATTGAGAAATTCAAACTTTGAATTGCTGAAACATCAACAATATTAATTTTCTAGCAAAGATTTTTAAATATATGATTTAAAAACATTTAAACTTTGTCTTAACAAAAAATTTTGAGACGTGATAAAAATCTTTGAAACTAAGGTCAATGCAAGTTGAGGAATAATGAGGTCAAGATTAGAGGGAAGATCAAGTCAGAAACTTTTGACATATGTCAATAGTTCTCATCAATATGTATTAGAGAATAAGTTTCCATAAAATATCTTGAATAGTCTCTTTGACACTGAGCTAAACACAAAATGAACCAGAAAGTTTCTGTTGAGACTGCAGCTCTACTAGTCTGTACGTTTAACAAAGGAAAAGTAGCACTTGGATTTGAAACTTTGCAACATGCAGCAATAAATTAATAGAATTATGTATCTAAATGTAGTCTACTTGCATGCCAAGTTATATTTAAATCAGACCAAAACTGGAGGAGGAGTAGCATTTGAAAGTATTTCACAGAAATTTCTATTTTAAGTAGTGGTGTTCCAATCATCAATTATAATCGAAAATCAGTCGATTGCTGGCATAATTCAAGCGCTCAATTACAAAATTTTTATTCTGATTAATCAGTTTATTAATTTTTTAAACAAGCGTAATAGTTTTTAAGCTAAATATTCCAGCTGCAACTTATACATCTATTAACTTATTTGGGTATCATAATGGCCAGACAGTCAGAATTGTATCCATACCTGGGTAACAAAGCACATTCCCAGGTATAGATGCCCATTTTATATCTGTACAGTGTATAAAGAAAAATTAAAGAAAAACAGATACACACTTAATAAAACACTCAGATGATATCCATTTATTCTTATTCAGCAAAATAAACAACAAATACATATTATGTGCAGAAAGTAGTCATTTACCCATTCTTACCATTTAATTAACTAACTAAAATTGAGAGACTTTGTAAATGTCTGATTATAATTGATAATTAGTTACATAGAGTAACCCGATCATCGATTATGAAATTCTTACTGATTCCCATCACTAATTTTAAGTAACCATGGCAACACAATTCTTTGAAATTAAAAACCGATATACACTATTATGTACCTTAGTGTAGTCTACTTGTGTGCCAAGTTATATTGAAATCAGACCAAAACTGTATGAGGAGTAGTGTTTTAAAGGAATTTCACATAAATTTCTATTTTCAGTAACTATGGCACCACTGTTCATTGAAATCAAAAACCGATGCTCTAAATTATGTATTTTGTGTCGTCTACTTGTATGTCAAAAATATAATAAAATCAGACCAAAACTGTAGGAGGAGTAACATTTTAAAGGAATTTCACAGATATTTCTATCTTTAGTAACCATGGCAACACTGTTCATTGAAATCAAAAACCGATCCTCTATATTATGTATCTTAGTGTAGTCTACCTGTGTGCCAAGTTATATTGAAATCAGACCAAAACTGTAGGAAGAGTAGCATTTTAAATGAATTTCACAGAAAGTTCTATTTTTATTAACCATAGCAACACCTTTCATCAAAATCAAAAACTGATGCTCTAAATTATGTATCTTAGTGTAGTCTACCTGTGTGCCAAGTTATATTGAAATCAGACCAAAACTGTAGGAAGAGTAGCATTTTAAATGAATTTCACAGAAAGTTCTATTTTTAGTAACCATGGCAAAACCATTCATCAAAATCAAAAACCGATGCATTAAATTATGTACCTTAGTATAGTCTACTTTTATGCCAAGTTATACTGAAATCAGACTAAAACTGTAGGAGGAGTAGCGTTTTGAAAAATTGTTTACAGACAGAAGGACGACGGACAACTTACTATCGCATAATGGCATAAGCTAAAAATGGAGTCAAGATCATAGAAAAAGTCAAGGTCAGAAAATTACACTGTTGAATACCTCTTATCACTATGTATTAAAGAATGAATTCTGATAAAAATATTTTGAGCTGTCTTTGAAACTGAGCTAAATTGCAAAGTGTGACAGACGGAAGAATGTAAGGACAGAATGGAAGACAGAAATGACAAATAAACACTATAATTTGCAAGGCATAACAAAGTAAAACATTTATTTCAATCTTATAGTTCCAGAATATTGTACCAGTCACTTTCTTGGATAGGTAAAAGTACTGGATAACTGGCTCTGCCAAAACAAAATTTTCTCAAATTTCAAATAAAATTTTTACTCAAGTTTGAAAATTACTTAGGAGACACTTTTCTTAATACCTGTACCACTACATAAATACCAAGGAAATAACATAATTGAAAATTTTTGATGACACAGACAGACACTTAAAAAATAAGTTTCCCTTGCTCATGATGACTTGAAAGCTGCAAGCCTACAGTTACCTGAAGAGAACATCATCAGGAGAGGCTGAATACTGGGAGGTCTTGCTGTAATCACGAGATTCATCATAAGGGTAATTGGCCACCAAGTCTCCTCCATGGAGGTTAGAGGATAACACAAATGGAATAGAATATAACCACTTAATCACTGCTCTTGTCTCTGGAGCAAGATGCTGTAAAGAGAGTCAGCTATACATGTATAACCATGTAAAAATTTCATTAGGTATTTTAATTTTGTTGATAAATGTAAATGAATTTTATAGTGACAGATTTTAAACCCACTTAGAGTTTATTCTAAGCATTCAAGTTCTGCTGGTTCATGGTAGAATTGTTATGTATGCTGCATTATTCCTACATGTAAATAAAGTTTACAAAAAGTTTCATCGAAAAAACTCTTTTGAGCAAAGTTTAAAACCACATGTGTTTTATTTATTTTCTCATGTGTTTGTCTAAATGTTGTTAACTGATTGGTCAGAAGAATCGGAACCATGTTTATTCTATGTATTTATAGCAATTTAAGGTTATCATTCTTGACTTCCCTTTATAGAAATCATCCAGACCTGTTCTAGAGTTCTAGAGCTAAAGTTATGACCAAAGTTAAAACTTCTAGGTCAAGGTCATAAAGTCAAAATTACTATGTTTTTTTTCTGAAAGCTGTTGTCACAAGGAATGTACATGTACATAAAATATGAAAGCCTCATCTTCTCTCATTCAAAAGTTACGATCAATGTTAAAAATTTTTGAAAAGTACTGTAGGTTAAATTTCAAGGTCAAGATCTTGAGGTCCAAACCACCGTACATTTGGAAAGGTCTTGTCACAGGTAATGTACATATCAAATATGAAAGCCCTATCTTCTCTAATTCAAAGTTATCATCAATGTTAATATTTTTGAAAAGTACGTCAAACTTCAAGGTCACAGGGTCAAAAATCATAATATATTTGGAAATAAATTTCTTGTAACAGGTAATGTACATGTGAAATATGAAAGCCCTATCAAAGTTGACCAAGGTTAAAGTTTTGTGACAGACAGAGAGACTGACAGACAAATAAGATTTAATGTCCTCTCGCTTTCTCAAAAGTGGGGGGATAATAAGGCAAAATCTATAGAAAGATTAGCATCTTGAAGTTATTTTGAAAGTTATTCTATATTCAGTAACCACAACAGCATTGTTCATCAAAATTAAAAATGCATACAAGTACATGTATATGAGTGTGTACTTCTATCAACCGTAGTCTTTTCTTGAATAATTTTTCATTAAAAATGACAAAAGCAAGCAAATTCTTACCGGTGTGCTAAGAGCTTTATTCAGTGTCATTATGTGATTGTTTAGTCCATCCTTCAGTTTCTCATATTTGTATTCCAACTTGTCTACTTCCGGAAAGTTTCTGTTCAAATCCACATTGTTGGCATTAGCTCTGCCATCCAACCATGGCTTCTTTCCATTCTGAAGAAGACAAAAACTTTAATTTTGATTTAGTAAAACTCAGAGGAAATGAAAGAACCACATTAAAAAGGCCTATTCAGATCTTCAAAAGTTTGAAACTGTTAATCTAACTGACATAGGGCTTGAAATAATTGATGGCCTGCTAGTCTGGGGCAAGTGAATTTTCAATCTGGGCTAGTACATTGCAGAGGGCATGTGCCCTTTGCGTCAGTGTATTTTTATGCATAACAATATCCATTCACAGTCGGGCAGGTGAACTTGAAAGGGTTGTGTGTCCAAGTTCTGTCGTTTCTTGTTTTGTTAAGTTGTACTGTTAAGTAACGCAATATAGACAAAATATTACTATTATTATTATGGTTTAGGGCCAGTCTTTTTTAAAATCTACTGGCCCAGTGGGACTGTGAAAGTACTAAGTTGACCAGTAAAAATTTAAGGTAATAGCCCAAGTGACCAGTGAAAAACAAAATATTTCTAGCCCTGCTGATGATACATCATATACAAGAAAATTGTCAAAAGAAACATGATAATTATATGTCTCTCACTATGCCTACATTTATGTTAACTTTATACAAGTGCAGACACAAGATCTGGCATACAAATTAGCATTTGTATTCAGAGCCCTTGTGTGGTGACCTAATCATAAATGGCTTATGGGCTTAAATGGTTATCTAAGTATTACTTCTATTTCAAACCAGAAGTCTCTGATGAGACTGTAGCTCTACTGGTTTGTACAGTACTTATAACAAAGGAAGAGAAAAGTAGCACTTGGACAACAGCAATAAATAGAATAATGATCCATACCATGATGGTTTAATCACTTTTTGTGTCAAGATTTATTGCAATCAGACTAAAACTGTAAGAGGAGTAGCTTTTTGAAAGAATTTTCAAGAAATTTCTATTTTTAGTAACCATGGCAACATCATTCATCAAAATCAAAAAATGAAGAAGACAATTGTGTATAAGAGTATAGTCTATTTGCATGCTAAGTTATATTAAAATCAGACCAAACTGTAGAAAAAGTATCTTTTTTAAAGTCAGCAATTTTTTGCTATCCATTGGGAATGGGTCCGGTACCAATTCAATTGGAATAATAGTGTCAAAAAAAGAATAAATGGGAATTTTCTGTCATGTCAACAAATGAAATTTATTTCATGTTTATTCTAACCTCATTATTAACTAGAAATCTGACCAGTCAGCAAGGGCCCCGCCGAGGGGTAGAAATATAAGGGTGCAGATTAGGGGATGAGAATTTTACTTGATTACAAAAATTTAAAAATATATAAAGATTGATGGATTGATTGTATGTTGTTTAACGTCCCTCTCGAGAATTTTTTCACTCATATGGAGACGCCACCATTACCGGTGGAGAGCTGCAAATTTTGTCCTATACTCTGCACTTACGGCCAATGAGCAGTGAGGGATCTTTTTCGTGCCAGCACCTACTGCGACACGGGACCTCGGTTTATACGGTCTCATCCGAAGGACCGGTCTCCACGTCCCACAGTGGGATTCGAACCCGCGACGTAATGATCAACTCCTTACTTCGCGTCTCTAGAGCAGACGCTCTAACCACTGTGCCACGCGGGCGACAATATATAAAGAAGAATAAGCAACAGCAACTGCTAAAACATCCAACAACCTGTAAATAGTATCCTTGTATTTACATAAGGCAGTAAAAAACATCATTTCTATAATAACTCAATTAAATGTATATTTAAAGAAGAATGAAGCATGTGTTTTCTAAAATGCCAGTCTTCAGTGAATGCAAATATCACCCAGGCTTGACCTTAACTTCAAAACAAACAACAGGTGCAGACAAAGGTGTTAATCAATCTTAAAGTGACAGAAAGATAACCCTCTAAAATTTTCTGCAACCAGCAAGATAATCAAACCCAGGGGATTAATTATACTGCTCTCTCAACCTTTCCTTATAAGTTTACAATAAGAACTTTTTCAGCAATGATAGAATGAGGTTATTATCTGAATACTTGTTAAAATAAATAGTATGCTTGAATTTACATAAGGCAAAAAGAAAAAAATAAAATAATAATAAAAAAGATATCTTTATCTATATCTTGTTTTTAGAATTCAATAAAATCATAACTCATTGTGTATTTTACCAAAATAAAGTATGAACATTATTTCAATCCACATTTCAGAGAATGTAAACATCATGCAGAATTGACCTTAACTTCAAAACAAACTACGTTTGCAGACAGAGGTGTTAATTAATCTCAATGTGGCAGATAAAGATAAATGCTTTGGATTTTTTTCAAGAGGAGAGTTAATTAATCCCAAGAGACTCATTGCAGCCTTTCCTAGTTTACAATAGGAACATTCTCAGCAGTTATCTCTCTTTGCCAATTCACTCTTATATAAAGTTAAGGAATCTACCCCACCACCCCAGCTCCAAACCAGACGACACAGAGAACCAAACTTAGCATCAAAATATGTCTTACTGCCTATTCAACCAACAAACAAAATTTGAAGTTAATTGGTCAACCCTAAAATAAGTTATTAGAAAAAAACAGAAAATTTGTAGACGGAAGAATGACAGACGGACAGACAGACAGATAGACAGATAGACAGACAGTGATTACTATAGGGCACCCGCAAATCCTTGTGGGGCCCTAATTAATTCACACTTTAAAGAATAATCAACAAGTCTTCATTGTTTTACATATTAATGTCCCTTATTCTCATATTGTCATGCTTTAAAGTTGTCAAAAATGTAAAGACAGTAGGATGACTATGCTGTCAACAACATGCATCCTGTCATATTACCACTGATCTCTACATTTTTTTATTGCAATCAGACTAAAGCTGTAGGAGGAGTAGCTTTTTGAATGTATTTCACAGAAATTTCTACTTTTAGTAACCATGGCAACATCATTCATCGATATCAAAAACTGATAAAAACAATTATGTCCCTTAGTGTAGTCTACTTGTGTGTCAAGTTATATTATAATCAGACCAAAATTGTAGGAGGAGTAGTGTTTTGAAAAATTGTTAATAGACAGAGAGATGGACATACAGACAGCTAGATGGACAACAGACACCTTACTATTGCATAAGCTCTTCTGGTCTCTGACCAGTAGAGCTAAAAATGATTAAAATGTGTTGTAATGCCATTCTTTTCTTCCCATTATCCAAATATTCCCTTATAGGATTTCAATAAATAAAAGAAACAGTCTAAAAATATACATTATTGAACAGCTGTGAATTTTTTGTTTACTTATTTGACCCTGTTTCAAGTAAGAAATATAACTCATACAGTTCAATAAGCATTGCAAAATGTTTTCTGCCCTAAAAGGCCTTGTACATTTTTTTTCCACATAGATTTGTTTTTTTTCTTTTATCCTTTGTTACCATTTTTTATCTACATAACACTCTAAAAAGTCTTAAAAGAATTTTTGTTTTTAAATGGCATTGCTTCCAGAAGAAATCTACAAAGGATGTATAAATGCTTGCATGTCAACTTTGTTGTTCTTGAATTTCAAATACCCTGGTACTTGTAGCGTAAAAAAGCATAGGTGCCTAATCATTTGCTAAAATAAAATAAAATTTCAAACATTTGTGTGCCTTGCTATGTTGAAATTCTTCAACAACTAACTTGCTGTCATTAGTATCTTAATTAAACATACAGAACACAAAAAGGCTATGCACCTCAGTTCCTCCGAAGAGGCTAAGCAACACAGCAAATCAGTGAGTATATGTGTACTTATTGTAACTACAATTTATCATTTAAGTTTTCATTATTAGTGATAATAAGTACAGACCTCCTATAATCATCTTTACAGTATCATTTTACCTTTCTTGGGCGTGAGTTAGCTAACTCCCAGCCGTCAGGGTTCATGGATGGCATTATGTGAATACGGGTTTTCTGTAACAACCATGTGACTTCTTTATTCTTCTCTCTGTAACCCTGACACAAATAAGCTACAAGGGCCAGTAGCACCTCTCTACTGACTACCTCATTTCCATGCATGTTCCCAACATATTTAAATTCAGGCTTTCCTGGAAAACACAAATATATTATCATAAAAGATCACACAAACTTATTCCGTTATATTCATAATAATTTTCATGTATAATAGATAGCAACAATTCACAATTGGACTGAATTTTTTTTCTCTTTTTTTTTTTTTTTTGAAAAAGATTGTTCCCATTAGGTCTTTGGCTCTGAAAAATATATTGAAAATTACATTTCTCTTTATCGTGTTCTTGGCAAATGAATATGTATTTATGTTATAATTGCAGATAAATGAAACCCCTTTACTGTGGTCACCAAATTAAAGTCCATAATTTCAATAATCCTAAATTACTGAATATTGAGGCTTTTTGTCAACTTTATAAACCATAGCCCTCTTGTTCTTGAAGATGTCTTATATCAGACCATTAAATAGTGAAGATCTGGAGATTTAGTACATCAGAGACCCTACTTAATAAATGTGTCAAAAATCGTAAAAGTGGGTAACTTGGGAGAGTTGGCAGGCTTGTATATTTCTGTGTACAACTTTGTTCCCCCAAGTCTGGCTCCTGTCCCTGTTCTACAAGTCTAGTACATGTATATAATTTTAAAGCAACTGATTTTGACTTGAAAGTTTATTCCTAATGGAGATTATAATGGAGGTGGATTCAAAATATACCACATGGTTATCTAGATAGAATGTTCTATTGTTAAAATGATATTGTCCTACGGGCACGGTTTAACAATAGAATTCGTTCCTTGTATTGGCAATGTAGCAAAATAAACACAGGCGATAACTCAAACTCTGTGCATTTTCTATGAACAATCCAGAGAGTTCCAAATGTCAACATGGTATTAAATCTGAAGTGAGGAAAAAACGTTGAGAAAATGAGTTGAATTTTCGTATTTATATGGATTATTTTTTAGGTTAAAAGGCATATACATCTCAAAAAGGTTTGTTATGATTAATTTGGCAGTTATTTTCAGTGCAACTCCTTTTGTATTCTTCAAAATCATTTCGGAGGGGATCCGCTTGCAAGTATATGGGACATATTCTAACATAACTATGGTGAGGGCTTGTCCCGAGACACAGTTAGATTATTTTAACTAATGGTTATCAAGATACTTTGGTTACATTTCAGCTCAATGCTTATGTTTTCATGCTTAATAAGCCAAGCCTCATCCTCACCCCCCCCCCCCCCCCCAATCTTTCCAGGATGTTATTCAAGACCTATTCAGATACATTTACGAGGAATGCAGTAACACATACCCACAACGTGTGTCCCTGGTGTATCTGCAGTAAATTCTATCACTACAAGATCTCTTCCTTCAACTGTCTTTTCATCCAAACTGTAAATACGGCTGATATCTGGACATAATTTGTTGGTCTCGTTTAACAACGTCAAAACACTATTGTACCCATGATCTCCAAAATTAAAGTTCTTCAATTCAAATGCCCGACAAAAGACAACCCCAAGACCGAAAAATACAGCAGCAAATAGCCGCATGTCCCTATCCTTTTTCCCTAAAATATGTCCGAGACAGTTATAATTCTACTGTTCCAATAATTTATGATTAAAAATCGATTATTCGCGTCATGTTTGACGTAAACAGCTTCTCGGAAAAAAATAGCTCGTACATTAATGGTTTGGCTTCCGGTTAGAGATGTACATCAACTGTTTCGAGTTTATCCTGCAGACACGACTCTTGGTGGATTCAGGGAAAGGAGATGTCAGATGGGCGAACATAGCGTGCAGAAGATACATAAAAATCATGTTCAATTTGTGAATTTAGTATTTAATGTAAAGTTAATCATTATTGGAATTTATGAAATTATGATAAACAACATGCCAAGAAAAAGTACGCATTCTAGTTTTAGAGCAAACTCAATAACAGCGGAATTAGCGTTAATCTGTGATTTTTCCCCAGGGAGATGTGCGCAAGGTAATTAGTGTCAGCAGTTTTGAGGGAAGGATCCTAAGTTTTACTGGTTTTAAATTAAAGCTAGAATATTTATTATTTAGAAGCCTTTGCACCTATTTTCCCGTTTTGTTTGTTTTTTTTGTTTTGTTTTTTGTTGTTTTTTTTTTTTTGTTTTTTTTTGTTTTTGTTTTTTTTTTTTTGTTTTTGGAGGGGGGGGGGTCCATGCAAATCATATGCGGTTGAAAAAAATAGAAGAAAGTGAAATAAATTATAGTAAACTAATTAATTATTCAGTAAAAATTAGACGCCTTTCAAATTTTTCAGTGTTTCCATATCCAAATATTTCTTTTTTCCTAGTATAAATTAACATCGGGCACGATGAACTTGGTTGTTGTGGAAGTCGCGCGCCTTATTAAAGTATTATACCGGTAATTGACCAAAGGATATGAACTTATTCAATTGTAGTTCCATACATATAAAATTATTATTTTTTTCTTTTGATTTTTTTTATTTCCTTCCAATCTATTTTTACAATTTTGGTACCTGTGTCTAGTACATTTTACATATTTTGTAAATAAATAAAGGTTTTGGAGAGGAAATACTTTTTTCGGGGCATAGGAGGCTAGTTCCTGGGGTAGAAGTTTATTTTTCTTTTACTAAGAAAACGGAAAACTTAAGATCCACCCCCTCAAATCTCCTGCCGTTAATTGTCTCGCCAGCGTTAAGGGAATATGGATGATTTGCATCAATTACACTTTTATTGACTCCATCGCTGTGGAAAAATGGACGGGATTTCTTAGCATGAATTAGACAGTGCATCAAGCATTACAATGCAATGCATTGTAGGACAGTTATATTTTTATTTGAAAGCAAAATTAATTAGCTTGCAATAAAAGAACTTCACTCGACACTCAAATTTTCCTCGGGATGTTTCGCATATATCTAAATCAGTCGTTCGATTAAAAAAAAAAAAATCAGCAAAAGTAACTGTTCTTTGATGAGAACTCAGCTCTAACTACTGTTATCAGAATAAATTCCGTTTATCCTTCCTGGTGCTTATCTGCATCACTCTCAAAATTTACACTTATCAGTCAAACACGAGATTTCTCTGTTTTTCAATCTTTCATATACCCAAACTAGCCGTTTGATAAAAAAAAAAATATTCAGCAATGAAGAAATTTGTCGAAAAATCCTTCGACATGATTACTGCATTGATAATTTAGATTCAGAAGAAAGAGAATAATCATAAGAAAATGTGAATGAAAATATTTCATCCAGTCTGTTTTTCAAAACGTTTTTAAAATGAAAACTGTATTAGAAAATACTTTAATTTCAACCTTATTTTCAATAACATCATGTAAAACAAAAATTGGACTTCATTTCATTGATTGACATAGCATTGTAGTGCAGTGCAATAAAATGCAGTTAAATTATTATAATGATTAACAGTATAAATTCTCTTGCAAACAAAAAAATCCAATCATTAGTCAAAAAGGAGTGTTCATTTCTTCTGGATGTTTCGCGCATACAAAAACTAGTTATTCGATTTTAAAAAAACAAAACAAAACAGCAACACGTAACTTTAAGAAAGTCCTTCGATTTAATTACTGATTGTTAATTTTTGATTTATATTAAAGAGAACAAATATTTAAGAATATGAGAATAAAAGAAATGCTCTCTAGTCTGTTTTTGAAACTTTTTTCCAAAACATAAAATGAAAAAAGTGTGCATTCAATCATTTTTGTTTAAATTCAATTAATAAAAAAAAATGACTAAGTTTTATCTTGATTGGACTCTTTGACAGGCATCACAATGTGTCGCATTGTATTGCAGCAGAGTGCAGTATGGTGCAATTCTACTTGTATTTAAACAAGCAAAATTATTTTACTTGTCAATGTATTAGAAATATTCCCCCACCATCCACCCTCCAAAGACAGCTTTTATATACAATTTTTCCTTGTGATTGAATGTTTATTTGGAAATTTGCATAATATAAATTTTGTTACAAAGTTCGATAACTCAAATTATGTCCCTTTGAACAACGTAGACAAAACAATCTTTGCTTTCCGCTTTATATTATGTAAATGTTTAAGCAATGCTAACGAATAACAGTCTTGTATACTATATATGAGAGGTTAGAGAGACATTCACAAGTGACCATGTATTAAAGTCAGAGTAAATAACGGTAATGTTGCTTGTGTAAAGGATCTAGTGTGAGCTTATCTCACTAAACAAGTACTGCTAAGCAGTATTGTAAAGCGTCTTTGATTGTTCTACAAAGTCCTTCGGCGCTTTGTTTGAGTCTCAAAATATTCACATATTAGTCAAACACGAAAGTTTATATTTTTTCCCCCACTCTTTTGCCATATAATAAAAATTGACCAAGTATGTTTTCAAGAATTAGACAGTGCATCAAGCATTACAATGCAATGCATTGTAGGACAGTTATATTTTTATTTGAAAGCAAAATTAATTAGCTTGCAATAAAAGAACTTCACTCGACACTCAAATTTTCCTCGGGATGTTTCGCATATATCTAAATCAGTCGTTCGATTAAAAAAAAAAATCAGCAAAAGTAACTGTTCTTTGATGAGAACTCAGCTCTAACTACTGTTATCAGAATAAATTCCGTTTATCCTTCCTGGTGCTTATCTGCATCACTCTCAAAATTTACACTTATCAGTCAAACACGAGATTTCTCTGTTTTTCAATCTTTCATATACCCAAACTAGCCGTTTGATAAAAAAAAAATATTCAGCAATGAAGAAATTTGTCGAAAAATCCTTCGACATGATTACTGCATTGATAATTTAGATTCAGAAGAAAGAGAATAATCATAAGAAAATGTGAATGAAAATATTTCATCCAGTCTGTTTTTCAAAACGTTTTTAAAATGAAAACTGCATTAGAAAATACTTTAATTTCAACCTTATTTTCAATAACATCATGTAAAACAAAAATTGGACTTCATTTCATTGATTGACATAGCATTGTAGTGCAGTGCAATAAAATGCAGTTAAATTATTATAATGGTAAACAGTACAAATTCTCTTGCAAACAAAAAAATCCAATCATTAGTCAAAAAGGAGTGTTCATTTCTTCTGGATGTTTCGCGCATACAAAAACTAGTTACTCGATTTTAAAAAAACAAAACAAAACAGCAACACGTAACTTTAAGAAAGTCCTTTGATTTAATTACTGATTGTTAATTTTTGATTTATATTAAAGAGAACAAATATTTAAGAATATGAGAATAAAAGAAATGCTCTCTAGTCTGTTTTTGAAACTTTTTTCCAAAACATAAAATGAAAAAAGTGTGCATTCAATCATTTTTGTTTAAATTCAATTAATAAAAAAAATGACTAAGTTTTATCTTGATTGGACTCTTTGACAGGCATCACAATGTGTCGCATTGTATTGCAGCAGAGTGCAGTATGGTGCAATTCTACTTGTATTTAAACAAGCACAATTATTTATTTTACTTGTCAATGTATTAGAAATATTCCCCCACCATCCACCCTCCAAAGACAGCTTTTATATACAATTTTTCCTTGTGATTGAATGTTTATTTGGAAATTTGCATAATATTAGTTTTGTTACAAAGTTCGATAACTCAAATTATGTCCCTTTGAACAACGTAGACAAAATGATCTTTGCTTCCCGCTTTATATTATGTAAATGTTTAAGCAATGCTAACGAATAACAGTCTTGTATACTATATATAAGAGGTTAGAGAGACATTCACAAGTGACCATGTATTAAAGTCAGAGTAAATAACGGTAATGTTGCTTGTGTAAAGGATCTAGTGTGAGCTTATCTCACTAAACAAGTACTGCTAAGCAGTATTGTAAAGCATCTTTGATTGTTCTACAAAGTCCTTCAGCGCTTTGTTTGAGTCTCAAAATTTAGTCAAACACGAAAGTTTATATTTTTCCCCCCACTCTTTTGCCAAATAATAAAAATTGACCAAGTATGTTTTCATGCCAAGAAAAAGTACGCATTCTAGTTTTAGAGCAAACTCAATAACAGCGGAATTAGCGTTAATCTGTGATTTTTCCCCAGGGAGATGTGAGCAAGGTAATTAATGTCAGCAGTTTTGAGGGAAGGATCCTAAGTTTTACTGGTTTTAAATTAAACTAGAATACTTATTATTTAGAAGCCTTTGCACCTATTTTCCCGGGGTTTTTTTTTTTTTTTTTTTTTTGTTTTTTTTTTTTTTTTGGTTTTGTTTTTTGTTTTTGGAGGGGGGGGGGGGTTCCATGCAAATCATATGCGGTTGAAAAAGTAAAATAGAAGAAAGTGAAATAAATTATAGTTAACTAATTAATTATTCAGTAAAAATTAGACGCCTTTCAAATTTTTCAGTGTTTCCATATCCAAATATTTATTTCTTTTTTTCTAGTATAAATTAACATCGGGCACGATGAACTTGGTTGTTGTGGAAGTCGCGCGCCTTATTGCTAGCGCTCGAGAGCGCTAGCAACTACGTTAGGGTGCAAAACACAGTTTTATGTAGGGTGAGTTAACCATGCATCGGACACATACCTTGCTTCGGACAACTTCAAGCAATAAACATTCATTGAGCCTGAGTCTCCCCGTGTTTTTACTTGTTTCTGTCTTAAAGATGAAGAATTAAACTTTTTAATGATGTCGATTTTTAGCCGGGCTTTGCTGAAAGCAAAGTCCTGGCTGTAGGCATCGTGATCAAC